AGCTTTTTTGAGCTCACAGTTTTGAGCTCTTTATCCAACGAAAGGTATACTGGCATAGGAAGCAGTCCAGAGTAGGTTTACTAATTTCGTCCTAGGTATAGAGGGACTGTCTTGTGAAGAGCTGATGGGTAGGTTGGGCCCGTACTTATTGGAGTTTAAATGAATGAGAGCCAACCTTTTTGAAACATATAAGATTCTTGACAGGAGAGATGCAGAAAGATTATTTGCCCTTGTGGGACAGTCTAGGACCAAAGGGCATCATCTCAGAGTGAGGGGTTGCCCATATAAGACAGAGGTAAGGAGGATTCTTTTTTCTCTCTCAGAGGGTAGTGAATCTGTGGAATTCTTTAGCACGGAGGACTATTGAATCTGGGTTAAGTATATTCAAGGCTGAGAGATTTTTGATCAGAAAGGGAATCAAGGGTTATGGGGAAAAGTCAGGATTGGAAATTGGAGTTGAGTATTATCGGTTCAATTATGATCTCATTGAATAGCAGGACAGACTCAATGGGCTGAATGGCCTATTTCTGCTCCTATATCTTATGGTCTTAAGGTCCTCATTGAATCTGTCCTCACTGGGTTTGAGTCTTAACTACCCTTTGGAATGGCCTAGCTAGCCGTTCAGTTGTGTCAATTTGCTAGAAAGTGTTTTAGAAAAGAGAATTAAACCAGACGGACCAAGATAACAGCTAGAATTTGGGGGGAGCATGTGGCAGTTGGACAGGCTCAGCTTACATCTGCTGGAGATGAGAAAAGTAACAAGTGACAATTGAAGTACATAAAATCCTCAAGTGTCTTACAGGGTAGATGTCAGGACAATGCTTCCTCTTTTTGGAGAACTAGGATTAAGGGTGACTGTTTCAAAATCAGGGATTGCCCATCCAAGACAGAGATTAGGCAAATTTGTTTTTCTCTGTGTCCTATGTTTGAAATTCATTTACCATGTTCAGTTAGGAAGATGTGGTCGGTATAGTGTAATGTCTCTAGCCTAGTAAACCAGAGATCTGGGCTAATACTCAGGGGGCATGGGTTCAAATGACCCACCTTTGCAACTGGTGCAATTTAACTGCAATTGATAATTCCAGAATATAAATGACGACAAGGAAGCTGTCATTGATTGTCATAAATACCCATCTAGTTCACTAATGCCCTTTAGGGAAGGAAATCTGCCATCCATACCTGGTCTGGCCTACATGTGACTCCAGTCCCACAGCAATGTGGATGACTCTTTACCTTCTGAAATGGGCAGTTAAGCCACTCAGTTCATGGGTGATCTAATTTTAACCTCAATTCCATATTCCAGTCCATCCAGAAGAATGTTTCACTTTCCCTTGCTTAGCAACATCTGAGCCAGAAAAGTATTCACTGACTCTGCTGCCACCATCTTTTCAGCTAGAGAGTTCCAAGGCTCACAATCCTCATATATACCTGAAACAACCCGAATCATGGTGCTCATAAACACCATTTCTTAGGAAATCAGGGGATTTTTTTGGTGAGGCCTCTTCTGGAGTACTGTATGTAGTTCTGGCCGCCTGGTTATAGGAAGGATATTATTAAACGGGAGAGGGTTCAGAAAAGATTAACCAGGATATTGCCGGGAATGGAGGGCTTGAGTTATGAGGAAAGATTGGATAGGCTGGGACTTTCTCACTGGAGCATAGGAGCTTTTAAATTTAATGTTGATCTCGCTCTCTGTGCACCTTCTCTGCAGACACTGTACTCCTCGAGATAACAAGGTGTAGAGCTGGCTGAACACAGCAGGCCAAGCAGCATCAGAGGAGAAGGAAGGGTCTGGGCCCGAAACGTCAGCCTTCCTGCTCCTCTGATGCTGCTTGGCCTGCTGTGTTCATCCAGCTCTACACCTTGTTATCTCAGGTTCTCCAGCATCTGCAGTTCCTACTATCTCTGAAACACTGTGCTCCTTGCTCTGTTTTATTACCCTCATGCATTTTGTATCTGCCCATACTGCACACAGGACAAAACTTTTCATTGTACCTTGGTACATGTGATAATAATAAATCAAAGCAAATCAAATCAAATCAGAAATGTTGAGGGGGGACCTTATAGAGGTTTATAAACTCATGAGGAGCGTAGATAAGGTGAATAGCAAAGGTCTATTTCTTAAGGTAGCGGAGTTCAAAACCAGGGGGCATATTTTTAAGGTGAGAGGAGTAAGATTTAAAAAGGATATGAGGGGCAACTTTTTAACACAGAGAGCGGTTCATGTGTGGAATGAACTGCCAGAGGAAGTGGTGGATGCGGGTACAGTTACGTTTAAAAAACATTTGGATAAGTTCATGAACAAAAAAGGTTTGGAAAGGCCAAAAGTAGGCAGGTGGGACTAGTTTATTTTGGGAACATGGTAGACGTGGACTGGTTGGACCGAAGGGTCTGTTTCTATGCTGTATGACTGTATGGCTCTAAGTAATGGCTGAGCAGGCAGCCTGACTCAACACTGTTGGATATGGCCAGTCATTTGGGCTGGGTTGCTTTCAGGTCCATAGTTGTGCATGCAATGTACTGGCAGGTCCTGACACTGCTCGGTGGATGACAGCGTGTAAAACCTTTAGTTGGTTAAACTTCAGCAGGACCCTGGATTAACTGGAGTACCCTGAGCCTCACTGTTTTCCAATCTGTATCAATTTGATCTGGAATGAAATGTGTGTGTCCCAATGGGAGGAGAACATGTACCTCATATGGTGCAACCAGAAACTGTACTGACAGGGATTTCACAGCAGCTCAGTTCAGCAAGATGATGGGTTTCAATGTGTGCAGGTTACCTGGGCATTCAGTAGAAAGCAGAGAGAGGCAGGATCCCCTGGGAAAGTAAAGGCACATTCAATATGGTCATCATTATTAACTTATAAGAATCATAGAATCCCTACTGTGTGGAAACACGTCATCTGGCCAATTGAGTCTACACTGACCCACTGAAGGGCATCCCACCCCACCCTATAATCCTGCATTTAATCCATCTAGCCTATACATCCCTGGACACAATGGGCAAGTTAGCATGACTAATCCACCTAACCAGCACGTCTTTGGACTGTAGGAGGAAACCCATGCAGACACAGGGATAATGGGCAAACTCCTCACAGACAGAGAGTGGAATCGAACCCAGGTCCCTGGTGCTAACCACTGAGCCTCCTTGTCACCCTTGTCTGACAATTCACGGTGAGGAAGAGGTAAACGTGAATTGTGAATCACCACAAGTTGCTGGATAATTGGTATTGCTCCATCGTTAGCCTCATGCAAATTGGAGTTAATCCTTAACCATTCCACAACTTTCAAGAACCTGCTGCTATTGAACTAATAAAATAAACTAAACCTGCCAGAGGAGGTTTAAGCCAGTTCTTGACACCATAAGGA